TGGAGGGGACAAGTAAGAATGATTGAGGTGGGTGGAGTTCCTCTCAAAAAGTTTTCTGGAGGACACAAGTTTTTATGTATAAGAAACTCTTACTAATAAACAGTGACTGGAGAAGCTCATTAACCACCATTCTGTCAGCAGAGGGTCAACTTCAGGAGTGGAGGGAATGAAGAATCACTCAAAGGAGAACAGATATTATGTAAATCAAGTTCATTTAGACATGCAAATGGAGAATCCAATTTTAGTTCTGGCATGGATACTCCAAAGCACAGATGCTCCAAACACCATCATCTGTTTGGCTCTAGAGTCTGATCTTTTGCAACATATTGACCTCCCGTTGTTTTTCTTTCCACTTARTGGCATTAATAATAATATTAGCCAATTTACCGAAGGCTTGCTATGTGGTAGGCCTTGTGCTAAATGCATGAGCTCATTGAAATATTACAGAGATTCTATGAGCTGGGTACTGTAATTACCCACATTCTGTAGGTGGGAGAACCACAACATTCGAGGTTAAATAACTTACCCAAGGTCACACAGCCAGTGTGTGGCAGGGCCGGCATCAGAACTCAGGGATTCCAGAGTCTGAGCTTGAATTGGTCTTTTGCTATACTGTGGGGAGTGTCCTACAAAGGGTCTATGCATGCCCCAAGAGCAAGGGGGAGACTGCAGTTAAGCCTCATTAGCCCCAGCTGCCAGATGTCCTTTGTGTTGTGCAGCCTGCACAGCCACAGGTGGCTGTTCCAAGCATATGTACATTAATTCAATGGATTAAACTATACACATTTAGCAAATGAGCACAAAGACCTAAGAGATTAATAGCACCCAACAACCATGCACCCATAATGAACCTGCAACTGCCTCCGTTTCCAGATGCCTCTTCTGGTCTGAGCATCTTGCTCCTCCAAGTATGTGTTTCAAGACAGAGTTCCTGGTCCTGGTATTTAAAGATAGATGCTTTTGACATGATACTGGTAAACACTAGCCAAAGATTTCAGGTGCTTAACCAAAGAAATTCTGTTCCTGTGCTGGAAGAAAAAAAAATTAAACTTCTGTGTTGGACTTGTGACTGTTTCCATCTGGCAGTTTCCTGAGAGTTTCAAGCATAATGTCTCTACAAGATGCAAGTGCTGACCTTAGAAACTAGTGTCCCTTTTCCACATTCCATTCCCCCCACCCCACCCCCATCTACATTGCCTCAGTCTGTTTTTTTCCCCAAGTGCCCAATGTCCAGTGGTTGAGCGAGTTGGGGGGGGGGTGTAGAGAGTTCTCAATGGGGGAAGGTCACAGCAGTTGGGGCAATAGGTGGCAAGGGAATTCACCCAGCATTTGGCTTTGCTTTGGATGCATTACCCAGGGTAATGGAGTTGGGCAGAGATACAGATTGGTTCCATAACACATTATCTCCAGGTATGGCTGATTTCCCCGTTTCCTCTGTGGGAATACCAGTAAACTCCTGTTTTCGCACAGGCCTGCCCCCCACCCCACCCCTAATCTGCCAGAACTTGAGTGTGGGTAGGAGGTGAAGCCCAGCCCTGATTGCTACATCACAGTCACACGCCCAACCTCCGGAGTGTTGGGAGGGGATTTTGAAGGGATGGATTTTGAGTTCTCGGGGGCCTTAGTGAACAAGTGGGTAAAAAGCCTAGAATCCCTGAAGAGAAGGGGAGCTGGGGCCTGGGTATTGAGAGAGGGTGTGGGGTACTAGGAGGTACAACCAGGGAACCCTGTCCCTTTGCTTCTTCCTCCCTCTGCCAACGTTATCATCACACCCAAGAAAGAAGCCACATTGCCCAGCAGGTCTGGTTTCTTCCTTTGCCACCCACCGTGTGTGCCATTTGTTTAAACTTCTCCCCGAAGACTTCCCGGATTGATCCCACATGATTCCAATCTCGCCTCCCATTTATTAATCCACAAATATTGAGTGGCTACTTGAGCTCTTGGTGCTAGGATGGACAATGTGGACAAGGTATCTGCCCTGTGCAGCTTATGTTCCAGGGGAGAAGACAGGTCACTATCTAATTTAAAAATAAATAAACAAACAACTTCAGAGAATGACAGGTGCTGTGTAGAAAACGGGGTGACATGATGCCTGGGAGGGAAATTTAAATTGAGACCTGAAAAAAATAAACAAAAAGTAAATTAAAAATAAAATTTCAGGGGGAAAAAAAACCCAGAATTTAGTTGAAGCACTGCCCTTCAGAATATCTTAGGATCCAGAGGCAGGTAACAACAATGTCCCCTGAGGGCCTTTCCCAGCAAGAACCAGTTGACTTTGGAGAGGGAGGCCAGAGCCAAATGACAGCTGGGGTGAGCAGCTGGGATTTTGTTCTAAGACTAATGAAAAAGTTTATGGCTGTCATGGGAGAATGGATTATGAAGACACAAAAGAAAACTGGGGCTTCAGAAGGTTATTGTAGAGGCCCTGGCAGGAGAAAGGGGAGACTGCCTTTTACTGGAGGGTCCCTTCCCCCAGAGGACAGTAGCCTGCTTCACATGTTACTTGGAATTTGAAAGAACTAATTTCAGCCCCTTGGACTAAGAACATCCCAAGAGTCTGGAACCATCTTGGCCACCTCTGCTTCTCCCTCAGTGTCTCAGAGACTGGCTTGAAGAGACCTGAGTTCTGACTGTTCCCCAACCCACCCCCAAGAAAGGGTGCTGTTAGGTGAGGATTGAGTCTCCTCTCTGGGACAGGCTGGCGTTCTCCCCCCTGTGGCTGGAAGCCGGTACTGCAAGGCCCTCCCTACCGGATGGAACAGTAAATGACTACCAACCAGTGGCCACAATTTAAATGAAAGGGGCACAAAGCAAAGGAGTAGTTGTGATTTTTCTCCCAGGCAGGTGAATTTGAACAGGTTGCCTTCCCTGAGTCAGTTTGAGTTTCTTTCATTTATTCATCAATTATTTGAGGCCCTGTGCTTAGGTTGGGGCAGCTCAGAAGGAAGACAGGTGTTGTGCCCTTAGAGAACTTTCAATCTGGGAGGGATCACTTAGGCTGGCAGCGGGGTTCSTGTCTTCCTTTTACTCCCTGCTTAATGCAGGGATGCTCAGAGGATGCAGTGGAGGGGACTTCTTAATTGGGGCATGATGTATCAGCCCAATGGGACTCAGATTTTTAACTGCAGACTCTACAGCCCTGTCCCAAGGGCTAATCAGCTTGTGAGAAGCCTGGCCTCAGCCCACACCAGGCACTTCTGCCTCTTTCGTTGGTACAGTAATGGAGTAGAAGTTTTCTACATCCCTCCCTCTCTATCCTGGAAAATCGGTGGCTGTATGATAAGATAATGACTTTGACCCTGTCCCCACTGCATGTCCTTCTGCATTATGAATTCACATGGCCCAGGCATAGTCCCAGGCAGCCCTTGCTCTTATATCCCGCCTTGTGGAACTGTTGTAGGGACAGACGAGGCAAGGCGCCGAAGATAGCAGGAAACAGTTTTATTTGGCTGCAGCCAGGTTCAGAGGGTACAGCCTTTGCTGTMATCAATCAATCCCCTGAACCCCGAGTTCAGGGAGTTTCAGAGTTTTATACCCAGCGTGTAAGGGGAGGGGCTCAGAAGTTCACAGTCTGCAGAAGTTCACATAAAAGCAGCTTTTTCTTTCACTGTTCTGGGCACGTTAACTCTTCAAGGACAACACCTGAGAAGGGGAGAGCTTCTTCTCTTCTTTCTATCTTCCCCCTGCCAGCGGTTACCATGGAGCCCATTTGTAACTTATCTTAAAAATGTAGACATCTCTGTGAAGCCCCATCTCAAGGCCAGAGGCCTTTCTTGTTTGCACATTTCTTCAAAGTACTATACTGGATATGTTTGTGAAAACTAGTAAGGGGGTATCCAGCATCTGGAGTGCTGGTATCATCTCAGCCCGTGGCCATGTAAACAGGGTGACACGAAAATAGGAAGTTTATCTACATTGAACTCTTTTGCAGAGACTCTTTTGCTKACAGTCCTAAAATCAGCCATGGTGGAGATTTCTAGAGAAGCCCAGTTAAGATTTTTCAGTTTAGAAAAGGGGTGCCACTTCAGAACTGGTCCTCTTGTTTTGAACAACATCCTACTTCCTATTRAAAGGAAAGTGACCACGACACTCAGAGYGACCAAGAGATTTTTTTTTTTTTAGTTGTAATTGGACACAATACCTTTATTTTTACRTGGTGCTGAGGATCAAACCCAGGGCCTCACACGTGCTAGGCAAGCACTCTACCACTGAGCCCAACCCCAGTCCCCCCAAGAGATCTTTATTGTGGTGGTGTCTGATCGACAGGGAAGGAAGGGAAAAAAGAAAGAGAGCAGGGAGAGAGAAGAAAAAGGTGGAGGGGAGCAAAGCAAGAGAAAGGGAGAAAGCTCGAGAGAGTTCCRGCAGGAGAAGGTCTTATATCCCTTTCGCTGTGCTGCTTAAGTCTAATAGGGTCTCCGGGTCTGCAAGCTGCCTTGTTGGTGTACAGTGATTGGATCACACAGTAGTTGCTAGGGTGTCATCTTCTGCCTTCAGGCAGACTGGGCAGGGGCTAGATGTGGACTTCCACTGCACCAAACGGGTAGGATTGAGTGTTCCGGCTTGAGTGGGGTTGAGTGTTCAGACTTGAGGCAAACAAGCGATAAGGAACCAGACAGAGAGGGTCGAGTGTTCAGCCCACCCTGCAGCTAACATTTGTTCAGTCTGCTCCACAATTAACACCTGTGACTGCTTCAAATAAAGTAAGCATGGTATTCAGATATAGGTTGGTCAAAGTTTTTTTGTTTTGTTTTGTTTTGATAGATGGGGAAACAGGCATGATGTAATCAGCTAGCTGCTTTGTATCAAGTCGGGACTAAAACCCAGGTCTTATCTCTCAGCACACCATGTTGGATACTACTCTAAGCAGGAAAGCAGATCATCTGACCCTAAATCATTCCCATCCTCCTAGATTCAGGCCATGATGTTGTGGTAAAGAATACAACTTGAGAAAGTCTCAGGGAAACCAGATTCGTGGTTTATTTTCACAGAGAAACCCAAGAGTAGAAAATTCCCCCTGCAAAATTGTCACGGTGATTTCATGTCACAAATGGAGCAAATGAAGAAAGCATCTGGTTTCTCCCATGAGGCTGGTGGTGACGGAGACACCATGGTGGAGTGGGAAGAAACAAGGAACAGGTGAGCCAGGTCCGGCCCAGAAGACGGGGGTCAGCACCCAGGCCAGGGCGGCTCAGGCTGGGACAGCTGGAGAGCAGCTCAGTCAGACTCCTTGCCGACAGGTGTGTATAGGTCTCAGTCGTGACTCAAAGTGGTTTTCTAGGGGGAAAAAAAGATCAAATGATCCAATGTGATCCCCCTGAATCCGTTGAGGCTGATATGCTTTCCTCTGGCTCCGGGCTCAACGGCTTCATTGCTGCCCTGCCTCTTCCGCCTGCAGCTCCCTCACGTTTAGCTCCTACCTAAAACAAATTTTGTGGCTCCACCAATAACAGCTTCCCCCCTGGAGCCTCACTTTGTCCCACCTGGGAACTTCTACCCACAGTTCCCTGGTCAGTTGTGACCCTGTTCCCTGTCCTCGCTGTGCTGTGCCCGCTCTCTCCAGCCCCTCATTCGGCACTCACAGGTACTCTCCTGTGTCCTCAGTGATTTTCTTTCCACACCCCACAGTGGCGTCTGCATCTCCTGAAGCTCCTTACAGCATCCACCCAGAGGAAACCTGACTTCAGGTAGCTGACTGAGGTTCCAGGAGCTGTCAAAACCCCAGCCTGCCCCAGAGGTGACCCTGCCTCAGCTCGGAGGAGGCCGCCTTGTGCTCGACACTTACCTACCAAAACTTCACCCACTGCAGCAGGCCAGGGCGCACCCGGGAAGCCTGAAGGATGAGGAGAGCGGCTGAGTGCACACTGCACTGTCCCCTCCACTCTCTCTGGCCTCAGGCCCCTTCTGTCTGGACCCTGATTCTCTCTGTCCCCCTACTCACCGAAGAATAAATCGTGGCTCCTCCCTGGAAAGAGAAGATCAGAGGAGGTGACATGGGGCTACAGTGGCGTCTACACTGCTTTGTCCTCAGGAATCACCAAGAGCCCAATGGCAGGGGCAGGCACAAGCCAGGATTATCACCAAGGACCTTCAGTCTGACTGGACATTGAGTCTATGGTTTTGTTCCCACAGTGGACTTATCACCCTAAGTCTATACAGAGCCATGATGTCCCGAGGACACTAGGAAAGCACCATTCATATATGGCCCCTGAGGACACCAGGACCACAGGAGGGACAAGGGCTTTATTGTTTGGAGATATGGAGAGAACAATCTCTGACCTATTTTTCTTTGCCAGACTAATTAGTATCTAGTATATTCTTTTCCTACTGTCGTAAGATTGCTTTCCTTACAGCTAAGCAAAAAAAAACCTCTTAAGTATTTTTTTTTCTTTTATTTCCTTCAAGGCATGGAGGATTTGGTTTCCCACCAAGAGCTCCTGGGCTAGCTACCCCAAAGTGCCAGTCTGCTCTCCTACCCGCTCATACACACACACACAAATACACACACACACACACACACACACACACACACACACTCAAACAAGAAGTTGACACAGAGCAAGCACTACAAAGAAAGAAAAGCCACCTGTGTGTTTGTCCTGGAGGGACATAATTTGTTAGAGCCACATTCTGTCTCCGAAAGGATCTTCAGATCCTTCCCAGTTTTCTCTGTTGCTCTAACTGCCCCCTTTGAACCTCCTCTGAGACCATAACTGTGAGGAATGCTGACCACTCCCTCTGCCCCCCACTTCCAAACTGCTCTCAGGGCACCTGAGTCTCCCTCATGAAGGGACATGGAGGCCTGTTTGTCAAAGTGAACAGGGTGGGCCCTACAGTGAATGCCCCTGCCTCTCCCCCCTGCAGAGACACCCCCACCATGAGAAATCAGGGCAGTGGCAAGTCTCACCTTAGCAGGGGTCTTGACCTGCCCGTAGTAGGCCGTGGGATATGCTTGCTGGTTGTAATTGTAGTTCTGTGGGAGCAAGAGCGTGCGGGGACAGGAGTGGGGTGTGGGAGGGAAGGAGAAGGATGAAGACTTTTTGCTCTGGAAGAAGCCCCCAAGGCCCTGCCCCGGCTGGATGTTTCCTGAAGCCTGCTTTCTCCCCTCTGTGACAGGTTTCATAGACAGCTCCGGCCAGCCAGAGCCCAGCCCTYGCCCCACTGCACTCTCTAGCCCAAAGGGCCTGCCTCCTCCCTCCCTGGTACTTCTCCCAACTCCTCATGTGTGACTTGGGATGTGAGGGTCGGAGACCATGGAAGAAGTAGAGTCTAAATCAAGCCATCAGGGGGCAGATGTCTTGCCTTGGAAGTTACGGCTGGCACCTCTTGCCTTCCTGAGCCAGGCTGAGGAAACTATTGGGTGGGGGGAGTAAAAGAGAATTTCAGATGGGCCAGACTCAGGAATAGGGCTGAGAGGGACCAAGGGCCTTCCAGGGGAGTCTGAGGACAAAGACACCCACCTGATCAGCACCGCCAGCCCTCTTCTGTAATGTATACACGTCTGCATCCTGGGAGGGAGAAAGAAGCCACAGTAGCATCTCCATGGTCCTTCAGCCTTGCTGGGCTTCCAGGGCTCTCTCATCCTGCTGCCTAAGCCCTGCCCTCCTCTTGGAGCCCCATCTCACCCAACCCACCCCTCCATCCTAAGCCAGTGGCCCAGATAGATGTAGGACATAGATATCCACACTCAGGGTTGGGGAGTGATGGTGGAGAGTCAGGTTGGGCAATACCACACCCACCCACACACTGGGAGCACTGGCAACTCTGGCCCAAGAATGCACTAGAATGGCAAGAATTGAGTCCACACAGGCTCCTCTGGGGCAGACCCAGATCCCTTAGCCACAGCCTACCAAAAAATTGTCTACACCAACCCCTGCTACTCCCTTATAGGCCCTTTAATCCCCACACCAATGCTCTTCCCTGCAAGGTCCTTGGAAGGACCAGTTATTATTACTGAAGCTAAACAATTAGGTTAGCTCCTAGTCAAAAAAGCGGGGAACAATACCAGGAAGTCCTGTCTAACCTAATTCTGCCTCATTCACACCTGACCTGAATTCTTAACCCCACTCTTTGCTCTGTGACACTGAGGTCACAAACTGGTTGTCCATAGGCTTTCAGACATTTTTTGCTAGGGCTCATTAAAAAAAAAAAAAAAAAAAAAAGACTAGTTGCAAACAATTAAAAATCATATTTCTAGATTTTCTCAAAAAATCAGATGACATAGCAACAGTGGCCCTACCTGCATGCATAACAACATTCAACCGAGGGCCCTAACCCACCTGTAGAGTCTCACCTGCCTGGCCCAGGTGGACGACCTTTGCCTTGGGGCCCAAAGGTTCTAATTCCCAAAGGCCAATGGCCATGCAGAACCAAGGTGTGGAGTTCTACAGGCCCCAAAGGTCCTGCTCATCCTCCCCAAGATTCAGATATTCAGACATCCTGCACCTGCACACACTTGAACCTGATCTGATCCCCGTACTCTCATTCTCCCTCCAGTTTTCCCTAGTCTTTCTTCCCCAGTGCCACTTTTTGGCACCGACAGTTGACCCCAGCCCCAGATCCCACCTCATGGTCTCCCTGCACCTGCTCACCCTGAAATACCTACCCAGCTGTGGCTCCCTCTGAGCCAGGCCAAGCCCAGCAGGATCAGCAGCAGGACAGAGACAGTGGCTAGCTTCATGATTCTGTGCCTCTGGAGGCCTCAGCCTTGGAGCCTGGGCTTTTATCCCAGGGAGGCCCTCCCACCCTGCTCCTTCAGTGACACAAGGCTTCTCTCCCACCCCACCCCCACTCAAGGTTGCATAAATTCAGGAGGGTGGGGAAGGAAGGAGGCACCCTCCCTCGGCAGGGAGGGGAAGAAACTGGGACAGCCACATCAGCATGCCACCTGCCAAAGGCCCCAAGCTCCTGAGGTCCCCTAGAGCTGAGCTTCCTCACCTTGAAAARAGAACTTCTGCCCCCCTTACCTCGGTAATTTCTTTCCAGTTGAAGAAAGGAGTTCTCTGTTTGAAATTCTGGAGGGAGAAGGAGCCATGAGAGAGGCTTRGGGTGGGGTGGGGGGCAATACCCAGAGGGTGGGAAGTGGCAGCAAACGGGCAGATTTCCAGGTGGCCTTGGAATGGACTGGAGAGGCTGGGTGCAACTTAGTGAAGATAAGCTTGTAGGAGATTGTGGGTGGTCATTTTGAGATGGCATTGGTGACAAGATTTGGGTGAGATGACCCATCTCAAAAATGAAAAGAAAGGCAGTTTGGGGACAAGTGGGCAGGAACTGAGGGTAACTGCCTTGAGGGAGGCATGGGGAAGGGCATGATGACCGTGATCCCCAGTTCTTCAGAACGTGGGAATTCTCCTACCTCCCAGAGGCGGCGGAAGTAGAGGAGGGCTCGGGTGCTGGGGGACGGGACTCGGCCCTGTGGATGAAAGGTGGGGAGCAGGTTAGCAGGGTGCCCCACCCTGCTCACCTAAGCCCTGACTCGGGCTCCTGACCCTTCTCAGCCTTCAGAACCTCACTGTGACTAAGATTTGGAGGGGACTCTGGGAGTCTAAGGACACCAGAAACTGTTTTGGAAACGGAGGGAGAGAGAAGTTAGATCTCTGAGCCATGAACCCACCTGCCCTCCCCTAACACAGAGCCTCTAGTCTCTCTCCCCACACCCCTCCCAGGTTTGGGGTACAACATAATTGTAGATGAACCTCGGGACCAGGACCTGCCCCTACAACCCCTTCTTGCCTGCAGTGCCACCTCCTGGCATCTCCCAAAGCTGTGGGTGTGCACCCCCCTCCCCAGCCCCAGACAACAGTGGAGACGGAAGAAAGCACCAGAGACCAGAGTGGGGGGCAGCTATGGTTTATTTCAAGGGTGAGGGTCTAGACTGGGGATGAGGGAGCGGTGTTTAGGAAGGGAGCGGGGGCTCCCATCCAGCTGGTAGCTCCTTGTCTGGAGGTCACGGGATGCGAAAGCTCCTCTGGTCCTGGGCAAAGAAATAGGTTCTAAGAGGGAGCTTGAGGAATACGAATTAGGGGGCATGGGCCAAGGCAGGGTAGCATGGAGCATGTTCCAGAAATCTCTAGGGACCTTTTAGCCTGCCACTGTCAAATAGGCAAATCCAGATAGCGCAGCTTGGCCTGAGAACCCTCACGCCTCACCTGGAGCACTACATGGGGCTCCTCTGTTTTTACTGCTCACTCTGGGGACATCCTCAGCTCCCCTGTCCTCACTGTGAAGGAGGACCACGCTCCACACCTTCTCTGCCCTGTTGTCCCTCTTCCTGCAGGACCTGCCTCTCCAGGAGACTGGCCCTTGCCATCCTGCCTAACTGTGATCATGTTCTCGCTGCCCCATAAATGGACAAAAATGCTTGGCAGTCTGTCCTGGTCCTGTGAGAAGTGTGATGTGTCCCCTGGCTCTCCCATCAGCCCCTAAGCACCACAGCAAGGAGTCTTTCCCCTACAAGAAACTGTTCTCTATAAATTAGAGAATTTATTTTGTTCATTCAAACCAGAAATTTCCTGGAGCAGAGACCTTTTGCCCTCTCCTCTCTCATACTCCGCCTCATTCCCAAGAGAGCAGAGTCACCCTTCCCGGGTTTGGGTCATTCTATCTATCACCACCCCTTTCTCCCAGAAAAACCACAAGTCCTGGGAAGGCAGGGGTCCGAGGCTTTACCCTTTTACACAAGGGCTCAGAACCTCATGCTCCCAGGCCAGTCAGTGGAATGGGTAGTGTCACCCATGAAGATCAAGAGCCCAGGGCAAAAAGTAGCTGCTCCTCAGCCCCCACCTGTCATTTACTGCCCCAGGGAAAAGGAGGCCCCGGGTTACCACATTTTTCAAGAGAGGACAGAAACCCAAATCAATAAATGAAGTCTCAACTTTTAAATGTTGGAAACTAACTCTTTTTTTTTTTTTTTTCATTTTGAACCAGGGATTGAACCCAGGAGCACTTAACCTCTGAGCCACATCCCCAGCCCTTATTTTATTTTTTAGTGAGACAGGGTCTCCCTAAGTTGCTTAGGGTCTCGCTAGGTTGCTGAGGCTGGCTTTGAACTTGCAATCCTCCTGCTTCAGGCTCCCAAGACACTGGAATTACACATGTGAGCCACTGAGCCCAGCCATTCTTTTTTAATGGAGCTGGGAATCCAACCCAGGGCCTATGCAAGGCAGGCAAGCATTCTTCCACTGAGCCTCATCCCTAGCTCTCTAATTCACATTCTTTAACACAATCCAAAAGAGTGGCTCAAACAAATCACAGCAATGGGCCACCAAGTCACAGCTTCTGCCTGGGGAGTGTGTCTGGATTGTTCATTGCCCCTGCGTCCCCTCTCTTCCCGTCCAGCACCCCCACACTGCTATTCTGGTGTCAAATCGGCCTGGCCAGGAGGTTCGCCTCCAAGAGGGAGGGGTGGGAAGGAAGGAAGGAGAGAGAGGATCTAGGTGCCAACTATCTTCTAAGGTTACATACGCACAGGATCCAGACTAATGCCTGTCACCCATCAGGCACTGGGCAGCTGTTTATTTCCTTTGCCTTTTTTCCTGTGGGTGTGTCAGTCCCACGAGCCTTTTAGGGCTACTTGACTCCCATGCGATCTGTGCCTTATGATCAGGCCTACTTCCTTTTCCTTAACCTTCCTTTTCCTTAAACTTCCTTCCAGCTCTAGAGGGGAACCTGAGGTTCAGAACTGGGTCAGGTCTACATGTTGAGGCCTTAAAGAGGCTCATTCCATGCCTTCTTCCCGACTCCTAATAGTGTCCATATTCTCCCTGTCTTTTCATGTCTCTGCTGGCCCTCCCCAAGTTTTGTTGGTGGGTTGGGTTTGGGTTTTCGCCCTGCCTGAATACCTTCTTAGTGGCCATCATTTTTGTTCCCCTGGCTCAACAAGCAAAGGTTTCGCTTCTTCCCTATATTCCCCTCCCACTAAGATCAGGACTGCAAGACCCGCCAGAACTTACCTTTTCTATGGCATCCCAGTTAATGAAACCCATTTTGGATTTAAAATTCTGCAAAGAAAACAAAAGGAATATCCAAATCACGTCAGGATGTACTGGGCTCAGGGCTTCAGACCAGGAGAAGTCAAGGACTTCTGTTGACTGTTGGTATAGAAAGAGGATTTTACACTGTAGGACCAAGGGGCAGGGCAGAGTGATCTTACAGAACTCACCTTCCAGAAAGTGTCGAAATTGAAGAGCCCAGGAGATGTCTGAGAGTTCTAAGGAACCAATGAGAAATGGGATGAGATCAAGAAGTCACTWTGTGAACAAGAGGCAGGGGCAGGAGATGGGGTATCAAGAGGGGAGGCAAAGAGTGCTTGACAGCATGTTCCAAGCCCAAGGCGAAGGAGTGCCTCCTCACCACGGTATTGAGACCACTGACAGCATCACCTCTTCCACTGTCCCCACTGGACCCTTGCCCCTGGGTGGGAGAAAGGGACTGCTCAGTRTAAGGCTCCCACATTCTGTTGGACATGCATCTGCCCACCTGCACAGGCCCAGTCTCCACCATTGCTCACACTTCTCTGCTCCTCTCTGGAAACTGACCTGCTTTTCTTCATTACATGGTGCCTAAAAGTCCCACCTCAAAAAGCCCTCCTAGGATGATTCTAGATAKCCCTACCCAGGTCGTGGAATCAGATTCACACTCTTGCCTCCACACTCTCCTATCCCAAAACACACCCATAACAAGAGCAGCTAAGGTGTGGTCCCGGCATGCACCAATCTCTGTGCCTTATCCAGCCGTATTCCTATGCAGAAGCTGAGTCCATTTTGCAGACGAGGAAACTGAAATTCAAGAGGTGTCCAGCAGCTGGCCTCAGGATCTGTCTCCCTGTCTGGATTCTGTACTACCTTGGTCTGCTTATGATACAGAAAGCTCTATAAAAACTGTGGGAGGTGAGCGAGTCAGACTTCACCATCCCCTTTTCAGTCAAAGAAACCTCAGCTCAGAGAGGTTAACTGGCTTGCCTGAGGATGCAGAGTTGACATGTGWACCCCCCATTTCTAACCCAAAGTTCAACAGCTTTCCACTTCTTCACACTGACCTCTTAAATATCATTTTAAACAATGACTCCTTGGCCATTCTTCTGTTACTTTATGTATGTTTTCTCCTTGCAAAAGTACGAAGGCTCTGATCCCAGTTGGGAGGAAGGGAGGGGATGAGTGAATGAAGGCGGGGGATGGAGAAAAAATCTGCCATTTTGGTCTCCCAGTGGTCAACCGACACAGTTTCAAAGCAGTTTACAAGAAGAAACTGACATTTTTGTTTCTTTCCCCAGGTCCTTGGCATTCTGTCCCATGCCCCACCATTCCTTCTGCTAAAGCCAGCCCTGGCTGCCCCCCTGGCTCACCTGATGATTTGACTCCCCAAGGAGGTGACTGCTCTCTCTGCTTTCCTAGGGGGACAGAACGTGGAGAAGTCAGTGGGGAGGAGAGGCAGAACAGCAGGGTGCAGGTAACAGATTTCAGGAATCAGGGGACTAAGACACGAGCATGACAGAAGACTTCCCAGGACCCCAAGAACGAGCTCCTTCTCTCCATGGAACTCCATCTTCCCTGGAAGATCCTGTTCAGCCTCCTCCCATGAGGGACCAAGTCACTGCTCACTTATGGTGTTTATGGATAACATCACCCTCTCTGTTCCTATTCGCTTCTGCAAGCTGCCCAGAATGCAACAGGGAGGGTCTCATTTCTCCCCTGGCTTCAAAGCAGGAACAAGCCAGGTTGTTGGACTGAATTGACTCAAACCGGAGGACCCCAGCTGGGCTAATGTCTGCACTGGGAAGAAAGGGGATGCCAGCTGGCAAGCCAGTGGGAGCCCAGGTGGCCCAACAGAGCCCTTAGTCTCCTCCCAAATTAGAGGTAGGTTCCTCCATTGTCACTTCCTCGTTCCCAGAGCTAACACGTAAACCCGGCTGTGAAAGGCCGGCTCTGCTCACATTGCTGCAGAGAGCTGACCTTCATTCACCCCGTTTACTAGGGACTCAGCCGCTACATTCAAGGCCGCCACCTCTCTACCCTGATGTTCCTGGAACGGCTGGGCCCTCCCTGTACTCCACTGAAGCCCCAGAGGATAAGACAGTGAGATGCAGAGCCCTGTTCCAGATCCTGGGGCCATCTTGAAAAACATATGTGTTGACAATGTGATTCCTCTAAAAGTCCTTGGGAAGTTGTCAAAATAATTTTAAAATTAATTTGGAAGGATAAAGGTTTAGGAGCAGGTAGAAAAACACTGGAAAAGGTCAGTGGTGGCAGGAGACTGGTGCTGAAAGACAGTCACGGGCCATAAGCTACTGTAAGGAAAGCTGTGTGGTTTCCCGCGCCAGGACGGATGAATCTATTCAGCATATCAGAACTCCCCGGAGCTCCCCCCAAAGTGAAGGTATTTATTAGTGGCATCTGAAATCAGCAGTGGAAATGATGTGACACTTGAGGCTGGAAATATCAGGTAGCTAGTGGTGGAAACATCAGTCACACTCATCCGTTTCCTCCCTTCTGCTGTCGGCTTGCTTGCCCCTCAAGAAGGACCACCCAGCTCCAATCAGCGAACCTGTCTGGCTGGGCTGAGGGTGGGGCTAGAGCAACTAGAGGCAAAGTAAAGTTCAGGGGGACTAAAGAGTTACACTGGGAAAAATGAAATCATATAAGTATTGATGATACTGGAAAAGAGTTGGCCTGTAAAGCTGTACACCAAGGGCAGAAACCACAGAGGAAAACAGGGAGATTTTTGACTCTCGATGTCCTTAAGACATTGGGGTATAAAAAACTAGAAAAAAGAGTTACAAACTGAGTGAAAAAAATGTTAAACTTGTAAACCAACGCAAGGTTAGCACCCTGCTGGGCAGATTCATGCACACCTGTAATCCCAGAGCCTCAGGAGGCTGAGACAGGAAGATCACAAGTTCAAGGTCAGCCTGAGCAACTTAGGGAGACCGTGTGTCAAAAGATAAAAAGGGCTTATCTTTTGTAGCTTTTTGTAGGATGTAGAGCACCCCTGATCTAATCTCTAGTACCCCAAAAAGGGTGGGGGCTGCTAGCATCCTAATACCTGAGGAGCTCTCAGAGAGCCAGTTTATCTAAGGGCCGCCCAACCACCCCATCCTCTCCCTCCTGGCCTTGTTCCTCGCTGCCACCAATGCATGGCCCCACAGGGCAGCCTCCCTAGGAGCTGGTGAGAACTGCAGAAGCTCAGCCCCACCCGGACCTGTAGAGTCAGGACCCACCTTTGCACAAGGGCTCTAGGTGTGCATGCCTCACACTCTGCTGTCCCTAATGTCCAGATTCCCAGAACAACTAGGAGGAAGTGTGTTCTCCAGGAAACTTCCCTGCCAGAGTTCACTGCATTCTGCTCCCTGGCCGGGGATGGGACAATGAAATGATTCTGTTTCTCAAACACGGGTTCACATGGCGTGCCCCACGACCCATCTGCGGTGTTCAGTGAGGTGTATCACAAAAGAGTCACCGCRAACTCTGACCCTGGAGGCTCTTGGTATGACTAAGAATCTGCCTTCAGTCTCTTCCACCTAAATTGTCAGTCCCCCCGAGACAGGTTGAAGGGAATAGGGCTGAGCCCAGTGGACGCCTGAGAGCTGGCATAGTGACAGGTTTGTCTCTCACCTGACTCCCGGATCCTCCGGCCTGTCGGGCTTCATTCCCTGGGTTGTCACACTGTGGGAGAAAGGGAAGACTTTCTGTCCCCTCCCAACCACCAGCCCCAAAATGGGGCTTTTAACTGGCCCTCCTCAGCCCTCAAGGGCTGACCGCTCTTGTTTTTCTCCCCACAGTTTGAGGGAGATTTGTGCCCAGGTGACTCCCCAGCCACTGACCTCGGGCTTGTATCCACCACTGCCACCACTGCTGCTGCCTGAGGAAGGGCCRGAGTCGGATCCCTGCAAGGAAAAGCAGGGGTCACACGCTGGCTGACTCGGCCTGGCAGAGGGACCAGGGSGATCCAGTCATTTTATGGATTTTTGAGAAACACCCTCCCGTGAGACTTCACCCTTCCTTCAGAACACGTGAGGACGTGGACAGGGCTGTGGTGCAGAGATGGGCTCCGGTACCCATCTCTCCCCAGTCTTTAGCCAGTTGGTCACTGAGGGAAGTTGTTCTGAGCACGGAGAAGACCAGGTGTGTATTTGGAAGCCGGAGATGATTTGGGGAGTCTGAGCTGTTGCCCCGCCCCCCCCACCAGCCACCAGGAGCCGCCATCCAGCCACCAGGGGGCAGGTGGGCTCCTTCTGCCCCAGCCCTTCCCCTTGGAACCCAGGAAGGAAATGGGACTTGTCCTTACCTTGGACACTGAAAAGCTTTGATCCAGTTCCCTGGAGTTTTCTGGCTGTCGTTCCTAGCCGGGGGAGAGGGAGAGATATAAGGGGCAGCAAGTTAAGGCAGCTYGCTATTTGGGTTTGTCGTAATTTCTGACCTTCTCTGGCCTGACACCCTTCCCAAACCCCCAAGGAGCCTGTGCKGCCCCCTGTCTCCAGGCCCCTCATCTAAGGCAGACCCCTCCTGGCCTCTCGTGCACCATGCGGGAGCCCCACCTGTGGCCACAGTTATTAGTGCCGTCTACACCACAGCCCTGTGCACGTCCTCACGTGTTCTGAGAGCTTCCCAAACAACTATCGTATTTTTCTGTGACCACCTCTTTTCTTCCCTCCCCCACTGCCAGCTCCACTCAGACTTGCCCAGTGGGCAAGGAATAGAGGTTAGACAGGAGGTAGGACTTCCCTGCTGTGGTAGGGTGGGAGGGAAGGAAGTAGAGTAGGTAGGAGTAGACAGGGCAGCTTTTGGGTAAACCGGACGTGCCTGAGTGAGGAGCCCTGTGGTTGGACTGGGAAGGTGGGGGAGCCCCAGGATGGTGACTGYCCGTGATGCCACCCACCCCTGAGCTGTGGTGGCTTCCAGGGGACCCAGAGCCCATCTCCTCCGCAGGCGCCACCAGGACCTCATCCCATCCCTGCCCTCAGACAAGGGGCAGAACTTACCCGGCTGGACCCAGAGCTGCTGCCACTGCCACTGTTGCCACTGCTGCTGCCACTGTGACTGCTGCCACCACTGCTGCTGCCACTGTGACTACTGCCACCAGTGCTGCCGCCACTGTGACTGCTGCCACCATGGCTGCTGCCACCACTGCTGCTGCCACCGTGGCTGCTGCCACCACTGCTGCCACCATGGCTGCTGCCACCACTGCTGCCGCCACTGTGGCTGCTGCCGCCACCGCCTGACTGTGAGCTGCTGCTTCCCTGAGGGGCAGGATGGAGGGTGGGGACAGGGACCATGATTTGTTCCTCCTCTGCTTGCCTCCGGCCAGGACAAGGGGAGCCGAGTGTCCCCTCCCTCCACAGCGGCCCATCCTCTTACCCCAGAGTTGCTAGAGCTTCCACCGGAGCCGGAGGGTGGGGGGTTGGTGCACTGCAGAAGGAAGGGGCCGACCTGACTAAGTGCCCATCGCTCCTCTCCCAGCCGGCCCCACCCGCTGCCTGCTGCTCGGCCTCCTTTCTTCTCCGCCCTCTCATTGCTCTCCCCAGCTCCTCCTGTACCCACCTCTCCCCAGTCAATCTTCCCGCCACCCAGCCCTCCCTTCCCCCTCTCCTTCCTTTCTGTCACTCCCCCTCTTTCTGTCACTTGCACCCAGAGGCCCGCTCTGTCCCCAGACTCTCCTTCTTACCCCTGAATTTTGGCTGCTGCCTCTCACTGAACCATAGCCAGGCTGGGCCACTGCTCCCTGCAGGGAAGGGGAGACTGTGGGATCCGGAAGAACCAGGGAGGTTGGAAAGTGTGGACTCAGAGGAGGGGGGGGGGTGGGCAGCAGGGCGGGGTGGTCACTTTACCTGAGCATCGATCCCAAAGCTTTGTGACCCTCCACTGCCTCCCTGGCCTGAGGACCCTCCCAGAGAGTTGGTTCCGAAGCTGCCTTCTGAGCCTCCRGGGTGTCCCTGGCCCCAGGGAGACCCTGGGCCTCCAAAATTGCCCTGATTATGGCCTAACATGCCATGGCCTCCAGATRTTCCCTGCAAAGACAGAACATCTGCACTCAGTGTGGCCGTCTCTGACTCTGATTGGGGGAGGGAGGACCAAACAGCCGTAGATGGACAGGAGCCAGAAAAAGCAGGGGCCARGTTGAGAGGCTGCATAGCCGCAGAGGAAGGGTACATAATGTGCAAAAAACTGCCCAGAAGCCACAGATAAGAACCCCATTCATCCCTCAGTCACCCCAGGACCTCAGCCCGCTGCCCACTCCCAGCCTCTCACCCAAGCCTCAGAGCCGGGGGCCGCATCCACTCCATGGTGAATGGCGTTCTCCACCTGTCTGCCGGCCTCGTTCCCAGTGTTCTCCAGGGTCCGGGCGGCTTCCCCAAGCCTGTGGCTGACAGTGTCCCCCAGCTCCCTGGTTCTAGAGGCAACTTCTCCACCCCCTTGGCCAATGGCATCCTGGATTCCAGAGCTGGCTGCCTCCTTAGCTCCTTGGCCAATGGCCTCCCCAACTCCATTGCTAATAGCGTCTCCCAGCCCTTGCCCCGCGCTCTCCCCTCCACCCTGCAGTGGGCCAGCAGCCCCACTGCCCAGGCACAGGGCCAGCAGGAGGCAGGCCAAGGACCCGTGTAACTTCATCTCTGTCCGGCTCCCTTTCTCTCTCTCCGGAGCGTCTCTGTCCCACCAATCTGCTTCTTGTCACCCCTTCCCTCCTCTGGCCCGAGCCCTCTGTCTTCCTCTTCCACTGCCTTCCTGTTCTCCCTCCCTCCAGGTTCACAGCCTTCTCTCTCCTTTCCCAGATTCCCCTGCCTTCCCAGAGTCCTCCTCCCTGTCACTACTCCTTATACTGTAGGTTGGGAGAAGGTGACAGGGCTGGGCAGCCAGGGTTCCTCCCCCGGTGACTCAGGGGCCAGCCACCGATAGGCTAATGAGCCGTAATTGTGAGTCTGAGAGTCTGTCGAAACAGAGAGGGAGCCCGGGCACAGGGAGGGAGAACTGGAATGGGACGGATACAAGAGTGTTCCAGTTGCCCAACCCAGGAATTTGGGGCGCAGGGTGGGGACAGGGGCATCTAAGGAGGCAGGTGTTGGTATCTCCTGGAGGCGTTGGAGGTGGGTGGGGGGCACTTGGGAGACAGGAATCCAGGCAGGACCCCAGCAAGGAGGGGAAGCCCCCTGGGAGGGCCCTGGCCTAGACACGTGCAGGCCTAGGAGGAAAGGCAGGTGCCCTTTCTCRGCCCTTCTCAGTATCAGCTGGCCTTCACTGCTCCCATCTCCCCCACCCCTACTGCCACCTAAAGATGCCTTACACCTTCCAGCCCATGGAGAGACACCGGAAGCCATAGGGCCGAATTGGAGGTTCTGAGGTTCGAGAAGGAATGGCGGGCTCCTGAGAGTGGTCCTCAAGGTATTTCAGTTGGTGTCCACGATGCTCTCAGCTGAGAGAGCTGGGTGTGGAGATGAGGAGCTGGGCGGGACAGCCACCCCCAGGGGAGAGTGGGAGGGAAGGACCAAGGGAGGGAGCAGCTGACCCAGGCTTCCATCCTGTTTACCCCTGTGCCTGTGTGAGTTCATGGCCACCCAGGAGGGGAGGGACCGCATCAGCTCACCGCACCCACCCCTCATCCTCCCCTAGGAGCCGCTGCTGGTCAGGGAGCAGGGTTAGCACAAGGTCAGGAGCCCTTATCCTCAGTCCAGCCTGCATGAGGATCTAGGGAGTCCTCCCCAGGCCTCAYCCCTGCTTGGCAAGTATGGCTGCCTCTGTTCCCAGGGGCCCCAGGTCCTCCCACTTGGCACGGTCTCATATCACTGGGATTCATCACCCGGTTAGGAGGGGCCAGTTTCCATCTGCCTTTCTCAATGTCTCTCTGTCAGTCTCTCCCTTCCTCTCTTTCTCCACCCTGACACCCGCACCCRACTTGTAACACCCAACACTTCTTAGCATGTAAACACCTTCCCTGCCTGTCCTCAGCCCCCACCTCCCTGTTGTTCTGTCTCTGACTCTGTAATGGTGATAATAGTGGTGATGGTGATAATAACAAAAATAACAATAATTGCAACTCCAGTTTATCAAAGGCTTTCTATGTGCCCAGCACCAGACTAAGCACATTCAGAATCATACAAATAGGTCGTACTATTATCCCATTTAAGGACATAGACACTGGACTCAGAGAGGACACCCTGAGCCAGCCCAGACCTGCCTCACTCCTGAGCCCTAGCCCCAGAGCCTTTTCTGGCATTTCAGTGTCTTATGCCACCCCCCTGCTTGTCAAAACCCCACCTCCAGCTGTCCTCTGAATGGAGTTGAATTTATGAGATGCAGGAAGGAATCTGGCCCCCCAGGATTGGTGCTGGAAGCCCCAGCCCCTGGGCTTACTGCTTTCTTCGACCACAGATCAGGATCAAGGGCAGAGGACACTGACTGTCCCAGACTCCCTCGGTGGACCCCACCTTCACAGTGCTGTACCCATGTCCCCTTCCTTCTCCATTCTTAATCAGTAATATATTGATACCAGTGATCTTTAGCTTACTTTCCCACTTAAGGATATTTTCATCAGCTATGCAAGTGGAAAGTCAGAATCACTTCTCCCCAGATAGAAATTCCAGAAAAACAGAGATGCAAACAATGGTATTGCACTACAGCAGGAAGTTCAACAGGTAGGAGAGGCACGCCAGCGCAGAAATTGAGTCTTCCTCATTAACATAACCTGAAAACTGATTGAGAAAAAGTTTCTTACTGTGTGATTCAGAATTATTCAAACTCACACTCACAAACCACCTAAATTCTCCCAAACCATCATATTCTTCCTTCTGGAAAAAAAAACTGCCCTTAGACATCCTGGACCTGAGGGATTTTGTTTGTTTGTTTGGTTGGTTGGTTGGTTGGTTTTTGGTTTGTTCAACTCAGTCTGAAGGCTTTTTATTCAATTCTGTTTTGAACCAAATGGAATTTTAGGTGTTTTCACACTCATGATGTCACTGAATCCTCACTATAACCTCCACAAATCAATGTCATTCCCATTTTACAAATGGGTTATCTGAGATCCAGAGTGGTTAAACACCACACAGAAGATCGTATGTGAGAAGATGTAGGAGGTCAAACCATGACCCAATCTGACACTCTCATGTCTTGTCTAAGAAACCTCTGGTTTCAGCTTTTCTCTCTCATTCACTACTTCATTGGTTCAACAAAGATTTATGAAGCAGTCACTCTGTGCTGTGCGTACTCTAGGCCCTGGGGATATAGCTGGAACAAAATCAGCATCTTTCTCCTTGAGAAGCTCCAGTTCGTGGTGGGTTAAGCTGGACAATAAGATTATCAGATTGTAATGATCACTGCAAAGAAAAATGTAGTGGTGGGGAGGGAATAGAGAAGACAGAGGAGTATTTTAAATAAGGTAGTCAGAGAAGGGCTGCTTCATGTAACAAATGAGCTGAGACCTGAACGAAGTGAGAGAACAAACCATGAATATTCAGAAATGAGAGTATTCCAAGCAGTGCAGAGGCCCTGAGACTGGAGTCTGCTTACTCTATTTGAGGACCACTGTGGCTGGAGCACAAGATGAATGGGTGGGGATGAGTTGAGATCAAAAGACATCAAAGGGCTAGATTCTGGGATTTGGGGGACCACGGTGATCTTTTGTTTTTTTGAAAGTTAATGTGTGCATTACAGGAAACAGAAAAACACAAGCAAAGAACAGAGTCATCCACAAGCAACTTAGTTAGATGCGTCCAGTGTGCACACACAAGGGTCCCATTTTGTGTGACTGAGATCACAGTGTGTATCGTGCTTTTCCGTACTGTTAGCACAAAAGGATCAGACCGGATGCAAACTTCATGGATCTTCAAAAGCCTTTACTCAGGAACAGAGTCACRCCTCTGATGGACCCACTTTCCTGGTGGAAAATGAGCCCCTGGCCAGGGGGAGCTGTGCTTACACARGTTACACTGAGAGGTGACTTAATTAACGAACATGTCGGTTTGGGCACTCAGGAACTTGGGGTCTGTTTTACTGGGCAAGATGGTGGGGGGTCTAGGGTCAATGGTCAGTATCTGGAAAAGGATTTATTTGGGGAAGGATCAATGCTTTGGCCTCTTATCACTGGGAAAGAATGTATTGGGAAAGGATCAAGGAAAGGATCAACTGCCTTCTCCCTCATCCCCTCTCCCCAGGCCACTATTTGGGGGTTTGTCATTTTCCATATCCAACACATACACCATGAATATCACCAAGTCAAAATCCCAGAGTCACATGAGGAGCTTTAATAACCAAGAATATACTATACCAACTCAACCTGTTAGAAAAATTGTGTTCCTGCCTTTCTTGGGGGACAAAAACTGAAAACCAAAATGGCAACAAGCCTGTAGAGAGACATATTGGCAGAATTACAACTAAAATAATGATTCCCTTAATTCTCAATTTACAATGAGACAAAGCAACAGAGTACTCCAAACATGTTTCTAAGAGGGTTCATTTGGAGATTTCTACTATCAAAATATTAGCTAAAAAGCACGTTCCCAGTGAATGCAAGTGCTCCTACAGTACAGAAGACGCACACACCAGTGGTCACAGCAAAATGTAAATCCTTGGGCCTTTCCCTACATGCTCCTTCTGCCCCTCTTCTGCAGCCTAATCGACAGTCCTGATACTCACTGCCCAGGGCATCACAATTCCATGTCCAGGATGCATCTTTTCCATCAGGTATAACAAAAAGATGTAAAATTTACAAGTTGGCTAATTCACTGGCTCTACTTTTTATGATACACTGTCATCTCAGGACATCTAGAAAGCTTGGATGTTATGAAATGTAGTATGAGCTTTGTGCACAATAAACACAAGTACTTGACCAAAAATGCACATATAGATCTATGGTTGTAATCTAAAACTGTCTTCAGATAAGGACTTTGACTTTTGACACAGGTGCTAACAGTTCTTTGCGGGGACAGACTTGTAGAATAAGACCAGGAGGAGATGTCAGGAACAGAATGAAGGCTGGACTCAAGTATAGTGTGCAGATGAGGCCTTGGGTCTGGGGGATGCCTTGCTCCCTTCTGCGGGTCGGGGCCTCACACTGGCATCTGCAGCTTAGCTGCCTCCTGGGCGCCAGCCCTGAACCTCACGGTCACATCCAGCTGCATCACTCACTAGCCGTGATCTTTTTGTTTTTGTTTTCTTTTTCTAGAGTTTATTCTTACTTTCTGATCTTTCTTCTTCCTATTAATATGATTAGTACACATATTAATGATAGAAATTAATAGGATTCATTGTGACCTTTCCATACATGTATATAATATGCTATTATTGTACCCACCCTTCCTACTTCTCGCTCTAACCCACCTTTCCCCTCTCCTGAGTCCCCTTCCTCTTCCCTAATCGGCCCTTCATCTTTCATGTCGTCCTCCACCCTCCCTACATTCCCCAAATGAGAGAAAAGATGTGATACTTATCTTTCTGTCTGGCTTATATCACTTAATATAATGGTCTCTAGTTCCATCCATTTTCCTGCAAATTACATGATTTCATTCTTCTCTATGGCTGAATGAAATTCCATTGTATATACACTCCATCTTTTTAATCCATTCATTCATTGATGGGCATCTAGGCTGATTCCATGAGTTGGCTATTGTGAATAGCGCCACAATAAACACAGGTATGCAGATCTCTCTTTAGCAGCTATTATGACGGGGGTGAGATAGAACCTCAATGTAGTTTTGATTTATTAGTCATGATCTTTATCCATCTTTATCCCTTGTCTGTCAAACTGGGTGAACATGAGG